GAGGGGAGGGGCCGGGCCTGGTCCCAGAGGCTGAGATGATGCTGTCGTGACGTCACTCACTCCATCTGGTGCCCGGAGAGGCCTTCAGCCTGGGCTCCACCGTCCAGTCCGTGGGACCAAGACCACGCTGCCCGGGCCATGGGAAGGCCAGCCTGGCTCGCAGGGGCCTGGACGGCTCGGAGGGAAGCTGATAAAGGCGGGGCTGAGTCCGGAGCCCACAGCGGGCCTCTGGCCTGGACAGCTGAGGCCGGGGCAGCCGGAGAACTACATTTCCCAGAGTCCCCCAAAGCCTGGGGAGCGAGCCATTGGGAGATTTAAATAGCCCAGGCCTCGAGGCAGGGCCGCAGCTGTGGACGCCCCCGCCTCCCTGGCGGCTCGATTGGCGCCCGCCGGCCGGCCGTGGTGGGCTCGATTGGCTGCCCAGCTGGCACTGACGTCCCCTGGAGCCGGGTGGCAGCCGGAGGTAAACAGCCATGTGCAATCCTCCGCTCTATATTTAACCGTGGAGGAGGCAGGCAGGGAGGTGGCCGCTCTGGGGGCAGCTCTCGCCTCGGGGAGAAGGCCCTCGCAGCCGGCCTGGCACCGGCCCTCACGGTGCCAGCGTCACCATGCCGGGCTCCCAGAGCCGGGCCCGGGCCCGGGACCGCAACAACATCCTCAACCGGGCCGAGTTCCTGTCCCTGAACCAGCCCCCCAAGGGGGTCCCAGAGCCCCGCAGCTCGGGTAGGAAGGCCTCGGGCCCCTCGGCGCAGCCCCCACCCCCCGGCGATGGGGCCCGGGAGCGGCGCCAGTCCCAGCAGCTGCCCGAGGAGGACTGCATGCAGCTGAACCCCTCCTTCAAGGGCATCGCCTTCAACTCCCTGCTGGCCATCGACATCTGCATGTCCAAGCGGCTGGGGGTGTGCGCCGGCCGGGCCACGTCCTGGGCCAGTGCCCGCTCCATGATCAAGCTCATTGGCATCACGGGCCACGGCATCCCCTGGATCGGGGGCACCATCCTCTGCCTGGTGAAGAGCAGCACGCTGGCCGGCCAGGAGGTGCTCATGAACCTGCTTCTGGGTGAGTGTGCCCGCCCCCCGCCTGCCCCCCGCCTGCCCCACCCACCCTGCCAGGACCAGCGGGGCCCCCGGAAACAGAGGGGAACAGTCTAATGAGGTTAGGCAGGAAGGGCGCCCCAGAAACAGGCGAGCTCCGGCCTGGGGCTGAGAGAGCCAGGGATGCGCAGATGAGGGCCCTGAAAGGTGGGGGCCGCTGGGAACCCCTGCCCAGAGGCAGCTGGGGGGTGGGCACTGGAGGCTGCGGCCCCAGGCAGGTAGTCGGGCTGGTGGGGTCCTGTGGGGGTCTTGGATGGAGCGTCTCATCTCGTAACTCCCACCCACAGGTGGGGGTCCCTGAGTTTCTGGGCTGCTTGCAGGCAGCGCTTGTGAGCTGCCCCCCTACCCCCCTGCCTGGGCCCGGGACCCTGCCAGCTGCCTGAGGTGACCCCATAGGGACTAGGGGTGCAGGGGGTTCAGGGTGGGCACCCACACACTGGTGGCCTCCTGAAAGCCATACCTGCCCCTTCCCCGGGTGAGTGGCCAGGGGAGGGGCCTGTGAGCTGGTGTTTGGTTGGTTTTAACAACGTCTTTGCCGCCAGGTCTTTCTGTTCAGCCTGCTCTGTGCCAGGTGTCGTGGGGGGCGCAGCCCAGGTGGGAGGCAGGCCCTCCCCTCCATCCGGCCACCCTCCCAGCACCTCCAGGTCCCAGTGCTCCTGGGAACCTCTGCTTCCACCCCCATGTGGAACCATGTCCATCCCTCGCTCTTCCCAGCGTGGCCACCATGTGGAACGCCGGTTAGACACTGACGAGGGGTCCCAGTTCCAAAAGGGGGTGGGTCAGACCGCAGAGAACTGGTCCCCGAGGAAGTTACGATAAAAACGTGCGTCTCCTCCCCTAGGCCTCAGAGAGTCTGGGGATGGACGCGCTGTGGGTGGGACGTGGGGCAGTTGCTTCGTGAAGGAGACAGTGGGTGTAGCATCATCATCGTTTTCTTGTTCTTATGACTAAATTCTTTACATGGCTTGTTATTTATCCCGAATAAGCAGTCCCATGTGACTGGCGCTAGGATCATTCCCACTTCACAGATTAGGAAACTGAGGCCCCTATAAATAAAGCCTGGCGCAGGCTTCAAGCTGGGGATTTGCACCAGGTCCGCCTGCGTCCAGGCCTGTGCTCCTTCCGGGCACCGGGCCATGGGCTCGAGAGGGAGGGTGCAGGGCAAGGCGGCCGAGGTGCCACGCGGGGGCTGCTGGGGCAGAACCCTGCTCTCCTCGTCCGTGGCCTCCCCAGGGCCCACCCAGCCTCACACGGAGCAGGGGGCCAGGGGCCTGGTGTCAGAGGACGGGAATGGAGAGCGTGTTCGAGCCCGCTCCCTGGACCCGCCTGCACGGTCCCGCCCCGGATGATGGCGGTAAAATCCGTAATGTGTTTAGTGTCTGCTGTCTGTCCACTTCTCCGTAAACCACGCCATCCCTGAGCCTCCCACACCCCCATGAGGGAGAAGCCATTAGCATTTTCCGTTTAACGAGGGGGAAACGGAGGCGCAGGGAGATGCAGTTGGTCGGCCACGGGCCAGTGTGAGAACTGGGAGCACATCTGTTTAGTTAGGAGGTTTCTGGCCCATTCCGGCACCCGGCTGCCGGGGCACAAAGGTTTTGGCTTGGAAGAACGAGACGCCAGACCCTCCCTTCTGGAAGAAGGACGGTTGTTTCAAGTTCTTTAAACTTCATTTCTTGAGCTTCATATGTACCCATCCCATGCCATGGGCGTCCCATAGCTCATGATTTAAAAGTCTGTGTAATGGCCTTAAGGTAAACGGGAAGACACCACCTGACAGATGCGTTCCCTGAGGCTCAGAGGCTAAGGGACTGGCCCCTCCACACGGGAGTACGTGGCAGGTTGGGGACTCCAACCCAAGTCCTCCAGACAGCAACCCCTCGCCATCCCCTCGCCACCCCTTCACCATCCCCTCGCCATCCCCTCGCCACCCCCCTCGCCGTCGGTCTGCAGGGTTCTGCTGTCTTTGGGGGGCGGTGCGCCTTGGGGTCCAGGCCCCCAGCCGAGCCTGACTCGCTCTGTGACCTTGGTCAGGTCAGTTCCCATCTCAGAGCCTGGGCTCCCTGACCTCCGTGGGGCTCAGGGCTGTGGGGGGGACTCAGGGGTAGAGCACTTGGCACAGTGGGTGGCCCGCGGATGTGCCCAGTGGAGGCCGATCCACTGTTACTCGCGCTGCAGGGCCCAGAGGAGTGAGGGAGCCCCACCCAGCCCCGCTCCCACTCCAACACCAGGGCCCCCAGTAGATTAATGGGGGGTCCCTGGGCTGGGAGCGGAGGCCTCTCCCTGTACAGTTGGGACCTGGGCTCCCCTCGGCCCTGGGGCAGGAGGGGGGCTGAGGCGCCTTAGGGCCTGGGCAGAGTCCCAGCCAGGCTGGGGGGAGTTCTCCGCACCACCCCTGCGGTACTTCCCTCAGGGCATGCTGCCCAGACTCAGGCAGTGACTTAGCCCCTCTGAGCCTCATTTTCCTCATCTGTTAAATGGGTTGCTGGGACCCTTCACTGAAGAATTACACACAGTGCTTAGCACACAGGAATGCTAGCGTGGCAATGATTGTCACCTCCATCCACACCACCATCACCAAGGGAAGTCCGGGGTCCCCTCCAAGCTCTCGACCTGTGAGATCCTCCTCTGTCCGTCCCCTGCAGCACCGGGCTCGATGATCCCAAAGAGACCCAGGTGACCCGTGACCCAGGCCCTCCAGTTCCCCATCCTGTCTCTCACGGGCCGACAGGAGACCAGGCCCTGGCGCCCACCGTCTCCTTTCCGTCTCTAGGAATTGACTGCCCTGGGACCTCATAGACGAGGAATCCCGTAGTTCTTTGTCCTTCTGCGCCTGGCTTCTCTTACTCCGCACAGCGTCCTCAAGGCCCATGGTTCCCTGTGTCCGTGCTTCCTGCCTTGGGAGGCGAGCGATGTCGCGTGGTGTGGTGGACCACAGTGTGTTTACCGCCCTCTGTCCATGGCCTCTGGGTTCTCTGCCTTTTGGCCACTGTGAACACGGCTGCTGTGGACACGGGGTCTCTCGGAGAGCCTGCCTCCCTTCCTCAGGGCGCAGACCCAGAAGCTCAGCCTGTGGAGGAGCCGCCACACGGTTCCCGCGGCAGCTGCCCCTGGTGCACCCCGCCCGCCGCACTGCACGAGGCTCCAGTGTCTCCACACCTACCAGCACCCTTATCCCATCTATGTTAACAAAAGGCCCGTGGTCACCACACCGTAACGCCATCACGACCAAAGGAGCAGCGGCTCTCGCGGAGGGCAGGGCGGGCGGCCAGCTGAGGCAGGTGGATTTCGTGCGCCTGGGCCTCTCGTTTGTAATCGCCATCCTGATGGGTGTGAACGTGGCGTTGGGGTTTTGATTTGCGCTTCCTTCGTGAGCAGTGATGTGGGGCCCCTTTTCGTGATACATTGTCGTGGCCAGAAAATGCACAGAGTGACCCACGTAGGTGATGAGAGAGCGAGCGTGGCCCTTGGCCCCTCAGCGGGAATCGCCTCCACTGCAGGTTGGCGCACGGGCCTCTGGTTCCGCTCTGTGCGCGCATCACATCGCCGCAGACGCCCCCCGGCCTCTGCCCAGCTCCGCCTCGTTCTCAGCCCCCGATGGGCCTGTGTGATGACCTCGGCCCCCACGTCCCTTCATGCTTGAGGGCTCAGGACCCGACCAGATTCCTCACCCCTGCAGCAGTCCCCCCCCCGCACCCCCTCCCAGCCCCCCTTCCCCTTAGCAGACCCTCCGCCGCCCGCCTGCCCCTGCTCCCCGGACAGCCTAGGTGACAGCCCTCCATGGGAGTTAGGTTGACCAGGAGCACGCTGGTGAAGGTGAGCCGATCATGCTTCCTGCCTGCCCAAGCCCACTTTGTACCATCTCAGGGCAGCCCTGGGGCGTCCCCCACCCCCCGAGCCAGGTCAGGGCCCCCAGCAGCTGACACGAAGGGGAAGGGAGGAGGGAGCCATGGGCGGGCCCCAGGGCTGCAGCGTCCCCACTCTAAAGCCGAGCCCAGCAGCCTGGCACTCAGCTGAGGAACAAACGTGCCCTCCACCTTCTGTGCTCGTGATTTCGACACCCCTGCACCCCAACATCTGCAGAGGCAGGGCCAGCTCCTCCAGGTGAGCAAACCGGAAGCTGCGCAGGGATGGAATTCCTCAGACTCTCAGGCTGGGGGACAAGACAGACGCTCAGGACCTCCTCCCTCGCCACCTCCCTGCCCCTGCAGGCCTCCCCGGCTGGGCTTCCCGGAGCGCCTAGGTTTAAGAGAACGTCTTGTATGTGCGCTGCCACGCGCGTCACCTCGAATCCGCTCCTGGACCACGGGTCAGCTCAGTGGCGTTAGGTACACTCACCGCCATCACCCCAGACCTTTCTCATCTTCCCGACCGACACGGTGCCCACGGACACCCCCTCCCGCCCCGCCCCCAGCCCTGGTAACCTCTGACCTATTTTCTGTTGCTAGGAATCCCCTTATTCCAGGCACCTCTTATAAGCGGAGTCTTGCAATGTTTGTCTTTTGTGAGATCACTTTTTAAAATGTGCACAAGTGCCCTGCAGTCGTGGTGAGAAAACATTTTAAGGCAGAATTGACGGAAAGATGATTACAAATCGGCCGTCTTCTCTCCCAGCCAGAGCACGGCTCACATTTAGGGGCGCTTTCCGGGCCTTCTTTTC